ATATGAACATATGAGCCCAACGGCTCAGATTGAATCCAGGCCGATCTGACTATCACGGATGTCCGGTAGTGCTTGAATTTTTTTTTTTTTCTAAAGATCCAAATCACTTAAAATTTTTTGTGTATGTTCTTCTCATCAATTTTAGCCTAATAAAAATATTAAAAAAAATTATTCGTGAAAAAAATGACCAAAATACCCCTCAAAATTTTCAGGGGTATTTTGGTCAATTTACTTCATGTAAAATAATTTTTTGATATTTTTCAAAGATTCACCTATTTTTTATGAACACACACTTAAAATGTCAAGTGATTTGAATTTGTAGAAAAAGAAAACTAAAATTCAAATACTACAGGACATCTGTGATCGTCAGATCGGCCCATAATCAATTTGGGACGTTGGGTTCATATATTCATATGAGCTAGTGGGCTAATCCTATATTTTCCCATAGATATATATATATATATATATATGTCCTTGTGTTGTACATGAACATTTTTTTAGTAAGGATCTTTTTGGTCAATAAGAGAGATGTGACATCATCCATATAGACTGTGACATTACCCACATGGAGCACACAAGTTATATCCATGTAGGTGACGTCACACTCTATGTGGATGATGTCACACTCTTCCTAATGACAAAAAATACTCTTACTATAAAAAAAAAGATATTGTATTACAAAACAAGAACATATAAGTTTCCAAAATTTATTAAGTACAATTCTAAAATGCTCTATAGTGTGAGCACCCTAACATAACCCTTAATTACAAATCAGTTATAATTAGAAAAAAGTTTATATATAGTCGAGGCTCTAAATAATTAAATTAGAGCCCACCTCAAAAATTTCACTAGAAGAGGTTGTTTTGAGGCCTAAATATCCTCAAATTGATCATATCGACATCAAGATGCATGGACATGAGAAAAAAATGGATTTCAAGTTTTGGAAACATTGCACCTTATAACACATTTTTGGACCGTCAATTTTCAAGGTTTTCAAGTTTTCATAAATTTGCTGGATCTTGACTATTTTTGAAGCTTTAAATTTTTTAATTAAAAATGAAACTATATTTTAGGGCTATCACAAAGATTTCTAGTATTGAAACTACATTTCTCGATACTATTTGAAGGTGCGTTTTACTTTGATTGTTTAGAGCCTCGACTCTATACAAACAGCACCTTATAATTATCCCAAGTTGGGGGATGTTCTCAACTTGGCAGCCTAATGACCCCAAATGACCCTGGCGAGTCGCAAAACCTAATTAGCTTGACTTTGTTGTTTGTTTACCAATGAGATTATAAATATAGGGTGTGGTTTGTATAAGGTATCAACTTTATTTGTCAAAATAAATATGTGATTTTCTAAACTGTTTATTTAAAAAGTTGTACAATATAGATTTGACATGCCTTTTGAATGACGTCAAAAAACTAACATGTTTTTAAGTTAGTACGAATTAGCACTATCCCAATAATTTAGCCAGTGTGAATCAGTGCAACATTACTTCTACAAATAAAATAGGATTACAACTTTATACAAACTTTCTCGATAGATCAAACATGTAATTTCAGCACAAGTATTACGCATTAAAATACATTCTGAGGTACTTCATTAAAATACGTTCTGAGGTACTTTCTGCTGGTGGGTGAGGCCATTAGGGCTCTAAATTTCTATTATATTTTCATGAATTAACTTCTTTACACAGTACAATTGTGCGTATACAAACATATTTATAAATATACATTCATGGATGGTTTATGGAAGGCATGGTGCGAAATTATACTGAGGCATCCATCTTCGCCCCAACCCCATTCCCTACATGTGGTATCAACCTTAAACCATTAAAGTAAGGTGGTACTTTAAGATGCAGTTTCAGTACTGAAAATCCCCACGATGACATAAAAATCAAGTTTTGTACCTACTTATGAGATTTAAATTTTCAAAAATGGTACAAATCAAGAAAATCTATTACCATAAAAAAATTCTTGAAAAAAGACAACTGTGATAATTACACGATGCACATAAAGTTTATATAGAGCCGAGGCTCTAAACAATCAAATTAGAGCCTTCTTAAAATATTTCATTAAAAGAAGTTGTTTTGATGTCCAAATATCCTCAAATTGATCATCTCGACATCAAAAAGCATGAATATAAGAAAAAAATGGATTTCAAGTTTTGGAAATAGTACATCTTATAACGCATTTTTGGACCGTCAATTTTCAAGATTTTCAAGTTTTCATAGATCTGCTTGATCTATACTATTTTTTATGCTTTAAATTTCATAATTAAAGATGAAAATATATTTTAAGGTTATCACATTTCTTGACACTATTTGAAGGTGTGCTTTACTTTAATTGTTTAGAGCCCCGGCTCTATACAAACCACACCCTTGTTTTTATGATTCAAGATCTTTCTTTTGTCATTTTCTTTTAATATCCACGTATCTCAAGGTCAATTATTGATTGAAGGGTTTCTAGCATTGCAACAACCTCTTCGCATAAGTGTTTGTGGTATGCCTTACTTTTGTAATATTTGGTTGGATCTATGGCTTGCAACGAGGCAGACCAACCTTGGCCTTGGAGCAGCCCTAATCCTGTAGCCCAAACCTTGGCCCGGTCCTACCGTAGTGGCTTGGCCATGGCTTATCCCTCGGGCCACATTTTGTGGCACCGGCCTTAGTTTTTCTTGGCTGGACCAAAATGGCCCATTGCCTAATTCAAAGCTCTATATTAAGGAAATGTGTCTAATGAGACTATTTATCTAGGTAAAATTACAAAATACCCTCAAGATCACACTTTCTATGCCCCTTACCCCTACCTTAACTTTTACTCTCACTTTTTTCCCCAAAACAAACTTGATGCAAATACCCCCCAAGGGAAAAAATTCATTTTTTTTAAACGGAAATGCCCTTTCCGTACACAAATATTTGGAAAAATTTGATGTTGACTTTTGGACCCCCAGTAGCACATGGCCAGAGCGCACAATCACATTGCCAGAGCACACAAGTGTCGGACTGCCCTTTGCAACTATCGGACTACCCTTTGCAACTGCCCGATTGCCCTTTTCAATTGTCGAAACGCATTTTACACAGGGTCGGAAAGGACCGCATTTTACACAGTGCCGGAGCCTTACAACCAGACCGAACTTTACACAGTGTCGGAGCACTACTACCGAACCGTACTTACATGGTGCTGGAGCGCCCTATTTTGGTGTGATAGAGGAGAGAGGATAAAAGTAAAGCAGGGCAATTTAGATATTTATTTATTTATTTATTGGTTGGGGAGTTTTTTCATAGAATGTATATTTTAGGGGAAAAATGTGAGGGAAAATATTAACTTGGGGGTAAGTTGCATAGAAATTGTAGTTTTGGGTTTTTTTTTTTGTAATTTTTTCTCATCTTTATACAATGTCACAATCATTATTGACCGTTAGATTTGAAATCATGTCGTTAATGATGTATCATTGTTTTGGCACAAAATCCAAAAAAAATTCCTCAAATATTGCGAAACACTTTCTTCTAATAAATTTCGCATCCAATGATTAAAAGTGATTGTGGCCTCCTTGTATGATGAATAAATGGTCTCAAAGTATACAACGAAACTATTTACCATTGATACAAAGAAGTCACAAGTACTTCCAACCGTCCGATGTGAAATCCGACCTTAGAAGTGATACAAAGTTCGAAAAAATTTCTTTTAATGTTTGAGTATGGTCAACAAAATAAAAGCGACCATTTAATTTTACATCGAATGATCAAGATTAGTTGTGACCAAAGATAAATAATATTATTATATACATTTCATATATACATATATTATTTTTTTCCGTACAAAGACAAAATTATCCATGTGAGTGGGTTCGTTCGGTAGGAAGCATGTACCCCTCGCTCTTCTTTCATGTGACTCCTGCGCTCAGTCCCCTCTCTTCCCCTCCGCTTAATGCTCCCATGTGCCCCTACCACCTCCTTTCTCTCTCTCTCTCTAAATTTCGCTCTCTCTCTCTCTAAGTCTATAAAGTAGTGTCTCAAGAGCCACGAAAACTTCAAACTCCAGAAGAAAATGTCAACTACTGCAACTGCCAAATCTGCACTCTGGGTGATCCTTGCAGCTGCCCTGCTCTTCCAAGGTCTCTCTCTCTCTCTCTCTCTCTCTCTCTCTCTCTCATTTGAACTGACATTAGTATGAATGTTCAGGTGGGGGTGGGGTGAGGTGCGGCAAGAATGGTCCTTCGGTGCAGCAAACACAGGTTGGTTATGGAGCAAAGCCCAAATTTAGGGTGGAGGTTAGGAACAACTGCCCAATGTGCCCTGTTATTGATGTTCACTTGAAGTGCAATGGCTTCTCTCAGGCCTTAATCCCCCCGAAGCTCCTGAAGCTCATCGCACCCAACGACTGCGTCGTTAATGGTGGCCTTCCTCTTGGTCCCTCCCAGAGGCTCGCCTTTGCCTACTCCCATACCCACCCCATCTCCTTCTCCCCCCTCTCTTGGTCCCTCCAGTGCGAGTGATTCTCAACTGCTCTCTCTCTCCTGTTTTAGTACTGTAGACTAATGTCCTCCTCTTAGTTTTCACCATCTTTATTACAGGGCTAATGTTTTTGTGCATTCTAGCAAGTAAAGTAGGTGTTGAAGCTGCTCTAATGGTGGAGAGAGGGGAAATGATAATATTTCTGGGTGTTTATTTATGATGATGATGGTGCAATATAAAATTACAATATTTTTGACACATGATCAAAGGCGTTTCTACCGTTATATTTCAAGTCTATATTGATGTGTTGTGTTGGACGTTCGGAGGGGACACATAACGATCTTAAGATGGATTTTGATTACATAGATATATTATGTAGGTTATTGTGATGGGTGTGGTTTGTATAGACAAGTAAAGCGCACCTTCAACTAGCGTCGAGAAAGGTGGTTTCAACACTGGAATTTTAATTTCGAAATATGTTTTCATCTTTAGTTATAAAATTTAGCGTTTTAAAAATAGTATAGATTGAGCTTATTTACGAAAATCTTGAAATTAACGTTCCAAAAATATGCTACAAGATGTACTACTTTCAAAAATTGAAATCCATTGTCTTCTCATGTCCATGCCTATCGATGTATAAACTTTTTCCTGTTGGGTTACAGAAGTTGGGATTAGGGCTGCTGGACAATGAGCGCAATTAAAGTTCTGATAGAAAATTCAAATCCTCCCAAGCCGTCAGATGTCAAAAACTATGGCTAGGTGCATCATTCCACAACTCGAATTTCTTATTTGACAGTTGAGCACAATATTATTATTCCATCCAAAAGATAACCTTATTCAATATAATTCAAATTAGGGGATCTCTTTGGCAATGATTATTATCATTATTCAAGTTTTATCCCAATTATTTGGGATCGACTACATGAATTATGTCTTTCCATTCTTCTTTAACTTTTACCCAAAAAATAAATAAAAAATTATGGATACCCCCAAAATAAACTTTGTAGACATTTTAACCTAATACTTTTAGTATCACACTCATAATCTAGTCACTATTTTATCTTGCTTCTACCCCAATCAAAAAATAAATGTTTTAACAGCTTAACTACCTTTCCCCTCCCTTACTCCCTCCCTCTCTCTCTCTCTCTCTCTCTCTCTCTCTCTCTCTCTCTCTCTCAATCTTTCTTTATCTCTCTACCTGTGCTTTTTTTTTCTCTTTGTACGTACCTCTCTATGTCTCTCTCATAGAAAAAATGTAGTCTGACACAAAAGCATGTCGGACCTACCTTTTGCTTCTGAAAATCCATAAGCCTCATGACTGGTTCGACGTACATTTGTACCAGACCGAAGAAAAAAAAAAAAAAGCGGTCCAAAAAAAAAGTGTGCTGGCCCGGCTTCTGGAATTCTAGAAGCCTCGTGGCCAGTCCGACACAAAGGTACACTTTAATGCCAAACCGAAGCAAAAAATTTTGATCCGACATAAAATTGTACTAGACCGACCATGAGGCTTCTGGAATTCTAGAATCTAGAAGTTGGTTCAACACACTTTTGTGTCAGACCACTTTTTTTTTGCTTCAGCCTGACACAAAAGTGTGCTGGACCAGTCATAAGGTTTTTGGATTTCCAGAAATGAGAGAGTGGTCCAACACACTTCCGTGCCAGACCGCATTTTTTCAACATATGAAAAGCGAGAAAGAGAGAGAGAGAGAGAGAGAGAGAGAGGAGGAGTAGGTAGGTTAGTTAGGTAGGTAGGAGTAGTA